CCCAGAAATGAAAACAGAATAGCCTTGTTTACAAGTCAAGTAATCATCGTCTTCATTTTTAACTGCTGAGGATGGTTCTTGGAAGCTACATAAATGAAAAATTGGAGGTTGGAGGAGCTGCTCTGTCTGCCATAATCAGATAAACAATAAAATGAAGAGGGTAGGGCCCTTCCATTCCCCATTGCATAAAGAAGAGGACATATTATCTGCCATTCATTTTTTTTTTGTTTTTTTTATAAGTTAGATTAATGTGTGGTGTGCCCAAATGGCTACCCCTTCACAAAAATCCATATCCATATCCTTGGGACCATTCAAGGCTGGAACACTTGTTTGGTGAACCGAATGGAAGAAGTTACAGAGTAGGGACCCGGCCAGCTGTTGAAATTAAATTATAGACCAGTCAGCAGTCATATCAACCATCCTAGACTGCAAAAGTTATGTACCATTCAATCTTAACCATACAAGGATTTGTGAATTAGCTACTTAGTCAACAATAAGAATACCAGATTAAGCTGCTGACTTGGTCAACAATTCAGCATTGAAAGCGTTTTAATGAATGGATATATATAGATTATGCACCAGGTGGTGATTGTGGTACTTGTGGAAGCTTGATTGTGCACCAAGTGGCTAATTGCAAGCAGGAGGCTTTGGGTTGGGTCAATGTATGCATAGATTATCAGCATAATTACCCTCATTAATATAAAAGTTATTTTGTGGCCGGTGCTTCAGTGTTCATCAATTTGTGGTCAATTCAAATTCGTTAGGGGGTTGCCTATCATCATCCTCACCATAACTCTCTCTCTCTCTCTCTGCAAATGCATGGGGTAGAATGTGGAATATGCAGTAAAGGACTAAAGGTTTAAGGTCATGTCTTCAGTGATAAGGGAGGAATGTTATCTCCCTCACAAGAATACACCAAACCCACCTCCTCCCCACTCCCTAGCGAACACACAAAAAGAGGGGGAAAATTCTATGTTGTTTGGTGGGAAGGTTTGATGAGAATGTTAAAAGCTTAAAGTTGACATTTGAGACCAAGAAATGTTGGCCCCACAGGCTACAATTAATGAATAAAGGGAGTTAAAATATTAGCCAATTGTGTATATTCAAATCTGGTCTCTGCAACCCTAGAAAAATAAGTTCCTCCAGTTGATGTTGTTGGATGTGCCTTTCCCTAACCATAACAAGTTAATCCACATATTCATTTAATATGAATGCCTGTCATCTTCCCTACCTTCATATTTCAACAAGTCTCCGTTCATCATTCAACTTTGTTGACCCAACATCCCCAACACTTCACATGGCTACATAGACTCTCATTAGTCTTACACGTGAATACGATTTAAAATAAAAGAAAAAAAAAATTGCAGGCAAACTGCACTGGGAGAAGCACGGATTTACAAGAGTCAAATATCTTTGGGATTATATAGCTTTTTTGTACTCAATTAACCCATAATCCAACAAGAAAAATATATAAAGAAAAGGGAGATGAACAAAGAAAAATCCAATTGTCTAGCATTTCTCTGAGGCTGCTGCAGACAATCCGGCCGGCAACTGCCTGCTTTGTCTTGGCGACCAGAGCTGATCTGATCTGCCGTGACAGTCCGTTTGTCGCCAAAACACCCACTAAATCATCATCAACTAGCCATAATTATAGTAATCTGGTCTTCCTTTTCTCTAACTTTTTATATGTCTAGGTTATCTTGGTTGCAGAGAGGAGATTCCCATTATCTGTTCCACATCACTCCACTCGATGTACACCAACCCAAGAGCACCCTATATCAATTTTTATAATATCTTGCTTAGTTCGGTTGCTTATATTTTATGGAAGCATCTTTGTAAAATCTTAATTCTTTTTTTTTTTTTTTTTTTAATACATGCCAGATTGATAGTTTGAGTTCACTTCAACTGCATTGGGCTTTGAAGTGTGAAGTGAGAAGCCTTTACCCAAAAATAAAAATACAAAGAAACCCAGATGCTTACATGCATTTTAAAAAGTACATGCCAAGACATATAGTTTAATATAGCTCTAGTGCCTTTTGCTTTAAGATCGGGAAGAAAGGGGTCTTCAAAATTTTCTTTTAGATAGAAAAAAATGTATGAGGTATATATATATATATATATATATATATATATAAACAGAACTCAATATTGTGGGAATCTTTAGAAAACAAGAGTTCTTTTGAGACAACATGAACAATGTGGCTGGCGGGTAGAGATGGAGTCACTACTCCAACTTGATCCAATACAATAAAAATACAAAGAAACCTGATACAACCCAATTAATTCTACTCGGCCAGCCCTGCTTTCAAAATGTTAATGTATCTTGTAAACCGGCCGGGTTGGATGTATAATTGAAATCAAACCTGACCCGCAACTGGATCATGGCTGATTTAAAATTCAGCTTACACCCCACCCGCATCTAGAGTGGAACCTCATCATTAGTTCCACGGCCTGTTAAACAGTTAAAGCGGTCAGCTAATCTGAATTCCACTTCTGGATTTCCTATCCACAAAATTTTTTCACATCCCAACCCACTGGACACTGCAGGTGCTTATTGGAAACATTTCCTCAGCGGGTTTTGTAGCCTGTATTACACAAGTCTGTTTGTTGTGATTTTG